TAAATATTCAATTACTATAGTTGATTAATAAAGTGTTGATATTATATGTCTTATAATAAATTAATAATACTATTGTATCTGTGTTATTGGTTGGTAGATAATGAGTGACAATGAAGATATGGTTGACATCTGTCTAAGGGTGGGGGGTGCATTTGTCCCTAAAAGAGTTAGCAAAGATAGACAGCTGCTTTGTTGGTGTGGGGGGTGGTGTTATTGGAGAAGAAAAGTCCCAGTGTCTAAGTTGGATGTACAGGAGATTAGGTCAGCTGCAATTCATGGATTTGTTAATGGTGATATGGAGGTGCCTGTCTATTTCAATTGTTGGTATAGGCAGAAGGGGAAAACTTTTAACACTGGTAGAAGGGAACTAGTCAACAGTGATGAAGTGAGGGGCCTTTTAGAGACTAGAAATGGAGAGGGTTATGTAGAAGTCTTTGTGACAGCATAGCCTAATTTGAAGCCCACAACTAAGGCCCAACCCAATCCCCAACCAAAGGATAAGGTTACTAAAAAAGGGAAGAAGGGTCAAAGTACTTCAACTGTCAGTATTAGGAGAAGCCCTAGATTAAAGAAGACTGAGACTGAAAGGGAGGAAAGTCCACCAAGGGAGAAACTGAAGGGGAAGGTTGCAGAAGCTGGAGTGTCTGGTAGCTCAAAACAGAAGAGTAAGCTCAAAGGTAAAGCCTCAGCAAAGGCTAAAGCATTGGTGTTTGAAGAGGATGATGATGGTGGCAATAAATCTGATTACTCTAGCTCAGATTTGAGTGATGAAGACCTAGATTGGGAACCAGGTGAAGAAGAATTTGATGAAGGGGATGAAGAATGGTTTATTGAAGGGTCTAAGGACATCTTAGAGAAGGTTAACAAGAGTTTGAGGAAACTGCAGGGAAGTGGCATAGATGAGGGTGTTGTGAAAGATAAGAGGTCAGATCTGAAAGATGACCTGGATATAGGAACAGTTAGGGTCAATCCAGAGGATGATGTAGGTGATTCAGAGAGTTCAAGAAGCTTGTGTGGATCTGATTCAGAGGAGGATACTGCTCCATGGTTTAATGAAGATGTGGACTTCCAGAAGCCCATCCAGCTGCAGGTGAGGCAGAAGTTCAAGAATGCTGCATTATTGAGAAGGGTATTGAGACTGCATGCCATTCAAGAGAGGTATGAGTTTTATTTCTTGCATAATGACTCTAAGAGGATTACAGTGCAGTGTAGGTATAGATGTGACTGTGAGTTCAATAGTTATACTTGTAGAATGCCTGCATGTACATGTGTGGGGGGGGGGGGTAAAGTGTCATTTTAAGGTGTATGCATCAAAACTGGTCAAGCAGGAAACTTGGCAAATTAAAAGCTGTAAATTGAAACACAGTTGTCTTAGAGTCAAGAAGAATAGGATGATTACTGTTGAGTTCATTGCAGACAGATATCTAGAGGAGTTTAGGTGTAATTCTGCATGGAGAATTAAGGATATTAGGGCCAGGGTTCTTAATGACTTAGGTATTGAGGTGACATACTTTAAAGCCTGGATGGCTAGGTGTAGGGCTAAACTCATCATATATGGGTCAGCAAGGGAGCAATATGCTAGGGTGTGGGATTATGGGAGGGCTGTGATGAAGTATAACCCTAGGTCTGGGTGTAATGTGGTTGTGGAAGGTATAGACAGTCCTAAGCCCCCTATGTTTTTGAGAATGTTCATGTGTCTAAGGCCTTTGAGAGATGGGTTTGCTAAGGGTTGTAGGCCAATGATTGGGGTGGATGGTTGTCACCTCAAGGGTGCATATCCTGGAATTATATTGGTGGCAGTAGCTAAGGATGGGAATAACAACCTGTTCCCCCTAGCTTGGGCAACAGTGGAGGCAGAGAATAAAGATAGCTGGGGTTGGTTCCTAGAGTCTCTAATGGCAATGTTCACACATGATCAAGGAGCAGGGCTGACAATAATGTCAGACAGGCAAAAGGTAACAGTTTTTTGCCTTTTTTTTTGCACATTTTCATTTTCATTTGTACTTGTTTTTTTTTTCTTTGTGTAAGTATTAGGATGAGTTATTGATATTGTGAATGAATATGATAGGGGCTTCTGGAAGAAATGGCTGATATAGTACCAAAAGCTGAAAAAAGATTCTGTGTAAGGCACATTTGGGCAAATTTCAAGCTCAAATTCACTAGGTCAACATTCAAAGAATTGTTTTGGGCAGCAGCCAGATCAACAACTGCAGTAAGTCATCCCATTCCAATACTTATTTAATGTTTGTATGCATATGTGTGGGAATGTGCTTGTCTTAAGTTGTTTTTACATTATTGCATTTTGTCAGTTTAACTTCAAATTTGCCATGGACTCTATCAAAAAGTTATCAGAGGATGCATATCAGTATTTAGTGAACATTCCCCCCCAGTCTTGGTCAAGACATGCATTTTCATCTAACTGCAAGTCCAACATGTTGTTAAACAACATGTGTGAGACTTTCAATGCAGTCATCAGGCCTGCTAGAGATAAGCCTATCCTCACCCAAATGGAATGGATGAGGAGGTATGTAATGAATAGGAACAATGAAAAGTGGGAGGATTCACAAAAGATTTCCAGCAACCTTAACCCCTATGTGAGACATGTGTTGGCTAGGATAGAATTTGTGGCTAGGAAGTGTGTTGTGCAACCATGTAGAGGGCAAACATTTGAAGTGCAGTTGATGGATGATCAAGAGTGTGTGGATTTGGAGAAGGACACTTGTACCTGTTACCATTGGGAACTTACTGGGATTCCCTGTGTCCATGCTTATGCATGCATGATGGACATTAGGGGTGACATAGAGGCTTATGTGTACCCTTACTACACCATGGACTCATACAGGAAGGCTTATGAACCCCCTATCCAACCCATGCCTGGTCCTAAACACTGGGAGAGAGTGAGTATGAGGGAACCACAGCCTCCAGCATTTAAGGTACAGCCTGGAAGACCAAAGAGCAAAAAAAGGAAGCTGGAACCAGGGGAATGTTCTACTGCAACTGCACAACCACAGACAGCAAAGAGGCAGAAACAATGCAGTAAGTGTGCAGGTTTTGGTCATTATGCCAAGACCTGAAAAACACTCCTGCACCAACAACTGAGGAGCCAAGGCAACCAGGGAGACCACCCTCCAACACTCCTTGGATGGTGGAGGAGAGGAAGAAGAAAGAACTCAGAGCTGCCAAAAAGGTATAAACCTTGAACCTTGTGTTTCTGTAACTTTATGAATTTGATCCTGTAAGCTGATTATGTTGTGATTTCCCTAAAACAGAGCTCAAGTCAGCCAAGCTCAAGTCAACCAAAGCCAAGCTCAAGTCAACCAAAGCCAAAGCAGCAGTCTAAGTCAAAGGCAAATCCTTCCTCCAGCCAACCTGTAACAACCACTACTCAGTATCCACACAAAACTTCTAAGTGTTCCTCAAATCAGCCTGCAACAACAACAGTTCAACAAGCATCACACACAGGTGTGATAACTAGGGCCAAGCTGCAAAATTTCAAGGATGTTAACCTCACTCAGTGATGTAATAGCTAGAAAACAATATTATGTTTGAATTCATATTTATGTCATCATTTTGTTTGTTTGTCATTAGCATTTGAACAACCAGAGATATTAGGATGGTGTACATTTTGTATGGTTGTAATTGCCATGAAGACAGGTTCAAGTAAACACCTTTTGGCAACTATTTAAGAATATATATGTTCTGTCAACTAATTTGGCAATAATTCCCTATTTTACTGCATGCATGTGCTTTCAATTTTTTTTCAAAAACCATCATAACTGAACATCAACCACATGATTATAAATACTTGGAATTCATTCACTAAAATATTTAGAATTTCATTACACAAAAGCTCCCAGCACTACAAGTCACAAAATAACAATTCAAACACCTACTTCTATTACAACTAAACACCCCTAACCATTAGGAAAACTACACCAATTGACAAACTAATACAGATAGCCATGCCCACCCACATACAATGCACTAAAGAGCCCCCCCCCCCCCCGCCTTGCAGTCCATGTTCATTCTCTTTCTTTCACCATTCAAAGCCTTGCACCTAATCTTCAAATTGTCAACTTCATTAAGTAGACACCTCCTTTGCCCACTGATATCATCAACTTCCCTTTTCAACTCATTCACTTCACCCTTAAGCAGCTTCTTATCCAGCAAGAGGTTATTGATAACCCCTGTTTGCCAGTCTGTCCCATCAGGTTGGTCAACCCATTCAAAGACCTTGCACCCCCTTGATTCTGTGACTGGATCATAAAACTTGCAAGCTCTGAACTTCCTCCCTGGATTCTCCCTAGTCCAGCTAGTTAGCCTTGCCATTGGGTTTCCACAATTGCATTTTTTCTCCTTTGAAGGAGAATAGCTCAAAGAAGACATAAACTGCATCAATTTAAGATGAAAATAACAATTACTGCTCTGTACACATACGAATTCAAATTCTCAACAAAAACTTTCAATTAAACCCGTCTACCATAAAAAGCCCCAATTTCAGTTTCACATAAACCCTAATTTTTCGAAATTGACCAATTAACTGCGACAATGCTAATCCAACCACCAAATCCAGCATAATACATAACTGAATTGCTAAACTAAGGTAATTTAAGCAATAAATACATACCAAACAAGCTCAATTTGCCATTACATTGGAGAGAAAGTGCGATTTTGATGTATGAACAAACATACCTGTTACCACCTTCAATTCCTTCCTCTTTCCCAGCAAACCCTAGAATTCTTGATATGAAATCACTTTTTTGAATGAATTGATACCAGGATCAACCTATGTAATCCACAAATTTGCTCACAAAAGAACAGAAATGAAGAGAATCGTGCTTTTAAAGAGAGAATTGTAAAAAGTGACCGTTGGAGTAGGGCCCAGTAACAGTTCCGTTAACAGAAGCAAGATTTTGGTGGTAATTTCAAATTTTATTTTTTTTTATGTGGTGTTAAAATAAACTTTTTTTTTTGTGTGGTGTTAATATCAATTTTCATTGATTTGTATGGTGTTAAAATCTAAAATTTCCCAATAATAATTTCCAAAAAAAATTACAATGAGGTGAAATGTAAAGTAATCTCTCAGTGTTTCAAAAAAAAAAAAAAAAAAAAAAAAGTAATCTCTCAGTGGGTGTGCGCGAATAAATGGTTCCGGTGATTGCCGTCGGAAAATTGAATCCGATATCTTTTTCCGGCATTCATCTCTAAGGTTCATTATCTTCTTCGTGAATTAAGCATTCAATCAATTTTAGGGTTTTTATGTAATATGTGAATTGTATTTCTGATTTGAGATTTATATGTGAACCATGTGAATGATACTACTTAATGCCATTGTTTGTCTCGAATTTTGCTGCCTTGTTCTTATCATGATTTATTGTTTCATTTTGCTACTTAATTGCATTCGGTGTAATGGATTTTTCCTCTGGAAAGAAAAGATTGGTTTTATGTTATTTTTATGGTTTTCGTCTTTGAATAATATGTATAATCGATATCCATTTCTATAACTTGTGCTTGTCAGTTACCATGCTAGTAGAAAAAGACGCAAGACGAAGGGATTTGAATGAAAGAAGAATGTGAATATTTGAGATTTGGCTGGATGCCTGTATGTTGTATTTGTGCTTAAGTGAGCTCCTAAGTGAACAAGATGCTATTTGTATCTATTGTAATATAGACATGTACATGTTGCAGTTGTTGAATGATTGAATTAGTTATTTGACTATGTTGAATTAGAACTTGTATCTATGCTCAGGCATAATATGGTTGGAATTAGGTTATTAGTAGTTCGATTAATATTGGTAGTCAAAAATAGAAAAAGAAGGGGTTCAGAGAAGGAGAGTATGAAGTTTTAGTGTTACATCCCTTTCCACCACGTTTATCCGGTGTACACGGATTTAGGAAGGAGTTATAGTAGCGTATTGTAGATTAAAGTTGAATTATTTTTTTTTAAAAAAAAGGAAGGTAATGGGATAATTTACTGTTTTGAGGCAGAGAGAAATACAAGGGTTGGAGGGCTTTTGTTGATTAAAAGTGAATTAAAGACTGAATAAATAATGAGACTTTTATTTTGTGAGAAATGAAGCTTATTTAAGGACAAGCGGAGTAGAGATATTCAAAAGCTTGATGTTACCACTCCTTAGAGTCTTGCTTCCCAAAAGTCAAGTAACATAGGTCTTCAAATGATTTGGGAATTGTGACGGCCTCATTCCCTTTGTAGATTGTATGTCATAATTCTTTTTTCTCTCCAATTTTTTATAAAGATGATTAGGTTATATAAAGAACTTAAATCCATTATAGTTGTGCAAATGGTACGGACATCCTGAACTCTCTAATATAACCTATTTGGTAGAGCTTCAGTCAATGGTGAAAAAAGAATTTTAGTGGGTCATTTCCAAGAAGATCGCCTGACATGGCACACCTCTGGGCCCTCTAACCTAGCATGCTTAATTTGGAATTTGGACTTTAAATTGCATACAGTGGTAAACTGGTAATATTACCTGTTACAAAGCTTCTACAATGTTTTTATGCTGTCTGTCCATTAGCTAATGCAACCCTTGCACCAGGGCTTGGCATTAGCCATGCCAAGCAAAGAACTGGCAGCATAATGTTAGAATCCAACTCTCTTTGAGTGTATTTGAAGCTGGCTAGGCCTTTTACTTAAGTTTTCTAGGCCTTAGAGCAATTTCAAGAAGAAGTTCTGTAGGAGGCAATGATTAATAATGTCTGAGCTTCCTACCCATTGCCTATAGCTTTATTACTTGTGTGTTGTTGTAGGCATTTATAGAAATTATGCTGCCACATGTATAAAACACCCAAAAATTGATAAAATCTCAAGAAACCCTCAAAATAATCAAAATTCATCGTCGAACCTGCTTTTGCCCTGCCAGACTGTCACAAGCCCCGATCAACCCCCCTTGACTCCACTCTTGTCGCCAACATGCCAGAGTGCCCATCAAACTCGTCTATAGAATGTGGTGCTTCGTGCTGACAAGCCATTTCCGCACTTGGTTTGTGCCCTTGTTGCCAATAGACGGGAGAGTGCTATACAGTTCTAGTGTCATAACACTTGACCGTGACACATAGGTAGATATGTGAAGCAATCTACATATCCTTCTCTAGGCTATCTCCATATCCTATCACTCATCCTGTTACTCTCCAAAAACATTTTATGAGGAATGGGGAACTTGTTTAGTGTGAGATGTTCATTGGTACATGTCTCCTATAGTCTGATGTTAGCACTAAATAACTTTTGACTCATGTTAAGTGCTCCCTATCAAACTTTCCCCTCTAGTACATTAGTTTTATGGGCTGCAATTTGTCTATTATGCTTTTGTATAGTTAAGTATAACCATGTTCTATGATCTATATAGGTGCAAAAACCAAATATGATCTAAAGAAACTGCAAAGAAGCGTTCTTACTTAACCTTGGAGCAGTTGCGACAAGTGCCTGATGACACGAATACATACAAATCAATTGGTAAGTTCAATATCAGTATAAGTTTTTGATACATGAATTGAACCACATGTCTGTAACTTTTGGGGTTTGGTGCAGTTTGGGACCTATGTTCAATTGATATGTGACTGCTGTATTGTTGGTTGATTGTTTACCTTATAGATTTTTGTACTTAATGGTGTTTTTGTTACCTTTGTTATGCAGGAAGAACGCGAGAGTCCTCCTTGGCTTACAGAATCTATGGTTGTAAATCCTCAACAATATTTTGCCAAATTTGGTCTTGATGGATGAAAAGGAACAGAAGTTCAAGGATAGTGAGACTGCAATAGCTTCTTTACAGGTTTTTATACTTATTAATCGTTTGTTTTCTACCTTCTCAATTTGTCTTTCACTTGTTTGGTTTTCAGTTTATCGTTTTTCACATCGTTAATTAGTGTCATATTAGCAAGACGACCTAGCAATATTTCATAAATATATCCCAATTTCAGTTGTATGTGTTCATTTATTGAGATTACTTTGTTGCTGTAGACATTAACTTGATGTGTTGTCTTTATATATGGTGACAGACTTCTAAGTGTAACTGGAAAAACAGATGGTTTTATACGGTGACAGACTTCTAAGTGTGACTGGAAAAACAGATGGGGGAAGTGGAAAACAACCTAAAGGAGCTGCTGCAACAAGATCCTGGTCTTGCCAGCCAAATCATGTCCCTTTCAGTAACGTAAATCTCACTCTAGAGAATCATTTTTTAACCCTGTTTTTCTTTTCTAAGTCTTTTGGTTTTGTTTTGTTTTGAATTGCTTAAATGGGTTCCCTGATATTTATAAGATCATATAATTTTATTTTATTTTTTTCATAACTCTTGATTTCTGTGAGCTCTTCTTATAGGATCTCTGACTAAAGCTATCCTTTTGGCATCACCAAATTGGAAATTATAAAATGGTAAAAGCTTAACATTTTCAGTACCTTACACACTATACTTTGAGTGATATCCATAGAAAATGCTTAAAGAGATCAAAATTTCATAAATGTATCACTTTTTTTTACAAAATTCCCTACCGTCCACGTCAACGTCTGTAAATATGAAATAATTTTTTCCTGGTTCACAATATAACCGTTATATGAATTAGCGGTGTATATAGAGGTTCATTAAACTATAAACCGCTAATTCAATCAGCAGTTTCACGCTTTTTAATTAAAAAAAATCCTAGATTGTTTAGCTGACGTGGATGGTATGTAAGGAATTTTGTCAGAAAGCAGCATAATTTAGGAATTTTGTATGTTTAAGCAATTTTCACGGAAATCACTCCTATAATTTCACAAAATGCCCTTAAAATAAATGAAATTGTAATGTGGCCTGACTTTTGGAAGTTACCCTTTAGATGTTACCTCTGTAAACTTACATTGACAAAGATAGTAAACTAGAGCATAAAATTCGATTATAGCCAACTAAGGATGATTTATTGATTTGCTTCTACATCCTGTGATGTTAAGCAGCAATACACTATATATACTAATAGCTTGTGACCAATCTCTCTTGGAGTTCCAATGAGTTTTGGCTATTGTATGGCTGATCTTTGTGCTTGTGCACGATGATATTCACTGAGAACCCATATGGGGAAAATGCACCTGTATGACGAATATTCGATTATGCAGTTCTTCATGAATATTCCAGTGCTTTCCTGTATAAAGTTACCATAACTGTTAGATATTATGGATAAGTAGTAAAACTGTGTACTGTGTGACTGACGTTAAATGAGAATCTGGGTTGTAACTTGAAATTCACTTCTCCAAGGCAAATTCATGTATAGGACAGTCTACTCTTACCATGAAGAATAGCCTTGGTCCTTGGATACAAGAAGTTTCACCTTGAATTTTTTTTTTAACATTATTATATTGGTAAGTGATACTCTTTCTGTCCCTAAATAGAAGTTTCATTTTACTATAATTTTGTGTCTTTAAAAGTCCAATCTTTTTTATCAGTATCCACTTTTTTTTATTCACCTTCATATAACTGAACATTACTATTTTTCTAGTTTACAATTAATCAACCTAACCTCTTATCATTTTTTAAATTCACTCTTTAGTAAATGAGACTTTTATTTAGGGACGGGGGGTTTATGCTCCATCTTAAGAGCTAATAATCATTTTTTTTTTTTTTGGTCGGTTCGCATTAAAATTGTTTAATTAGAAGTTTTGTCCGAAGTAAAATTGCTGAATTAGAGGTTTTGTCCAAGGTAACTAATTGAAGTAGCGGTTTATGAATAAAATCGATAATTGAATTAGCGGTTTATTGAATAAAATCGATAATTGAATTGGCTTTTTTTACCATGGACAAAACTGCATTTATGCTGCTGCAGTAAAACTCAAGAATAGGAGGTTATATTATTGACTAGATATATTTACTTTTGTTAGCTTTTGTGACTGCATATCAAAACTGAATCTTGTAATTACCTGTGGCGGGAAGTCTCCATTTTCTAACTGTGAGTTGATTACCAACCTCATCCCTCGGTCTACGGGGTCGGGATCTACTTCCCACTGTTACATTGAGAACCATTTGGGTTAACCATAGTTTTAAGTTTGCTGTCATTTTTTAAGTTGCAATAGGAAATGCAGGATAGAATACAGTTATACTCACCTGCCCTGCTCTAATGAGAGTTAACAATGCCCATGAAGTTTGCACCAGATTTGACTTGTTCCCTTTTAGGTTTGTATAAACCTGTTCCACAATCCCAAAGATTCACAAATCTAAACTTTTAGGGAAAACTCCTCACAGACTGATGTTATTTCTCTACAAGAAATGCGGCTTTTACCACCAAAAGTGAGGGAGAGAGGGGAGTGGATTAGAGTACCTCGTTGGAGCTTGAGAGGTAGCTTTCGCCCCACCCGCCATTAGGCAATTGCTTTGAGAGTATAAACTCACATGCCTTTCGCACAGCCTGACTATTATGGTAGTTTTTATTACACCTTAGTAGTGCCTCCACTGCAAACCATATTCCATAGGTAAAACAAATTCCCCAAAAACCATACCTATCCCCACAAAAACAAACCAACAAGAAATAACTCTCAATTCCTCAAGTGTATTTTCTTAGATAGAAAATTCAATTGAACAAATGAAAAAAAAGATACATTCGAGATAGAAATCAAAATTGCATTACGTGTGTGAAACAATATCATTTTTTTTTCCGTACGAAAATCATATTTCAATTAAAGATCAGCAGTAAGAAAATAATAAACTCTGTATTTACCAAGAACCATCAGGGTTTTGAGTCCTTTCAATGTATTGTATTCCTCTAGAGATCGAGTCTTCTATTTCTTTGGTCCTGTGATTTGGGTATTGCTCCTTGAAGAGTGTTAAAGCTTGGATTACTGAGGAAGTGCACTCAACATGCCTATAATAACAGTAAAAAACAAGATTACATTTATCAAATTAGAAAAGTTGAGGTTTATTTATTTATTTATTTTTTTTTTAAAAAAAAAAACTCTACAACTGATCGTCTTGGCTCGGTCTATGATCATCTCTAGTTAAAAACCACAGTATTAGCTGATAACTATGGAGTATGAAATAAGTTAGTATATAGAAGCTTACTCTCTTTCGATTAGAACATCATCGAAGAGCTCTGTTGGATTGAATCTCTGAGATTAGACAATACATCTCATTAGAAATTATAAAATTAATTTGATTTTAACTTAATCTATATTAAGATAGAAGTTGGTTATACCTCAATCCAACGGTATGTTCGCTGAGGCTCCCAAGCTGTTAAACCACCATTCTCACTCTAACAAAAGGATAGGATAAAATGCTTGGAATAATTACTCCAACATATCTCATACTAGCAATCTACTAGTATATTGCTATTATCATTATATTTGAAATTATCGGAACTTATGTGTTTATATTTGAAATTATGAATGTGTTTGAAATAAGTCAAAATAGGCTGAGGTAAACATAATTTAAGTAATTAAAGCTGGCGAATCGAAATTAAACATAATACAAAATGACAATGGTCTCTAATTTAAATCAATAACTGTATGTATAACACTAACCTGTAGAGAAAGAATGACATTCACAGCATCAAATAGGCGCTCAGCTTCCATTTTTTCTTCCTCAAGTTCAGGAAACATTTTTGCAAATAGCAGTGCAACCTATAAAACAATACCGTTGGAACATAACGATAAGCAAAAAAGGATACAAAATCTTCTGGTAATTTCGCTTGGATTAATGAAATTTTTATATACACTCATATAAGTCATTGTAAGGCACACTAATGTTATTTTTTGCTCATTTAAAATTAATAAAATTTATATGTACTAATAAGTCATTTTAAGCCACACTAATGTTATTTTTTGGTCATTTGATGATTACATGAACAATAATCATTGAAATGAGTAAAATATAACATCGGATTTAAAAGGGAAATAGTTCTCATTGAAGCATACAATTTAAATGAAATATAATATTTGCTTTCTGTTTGAAAATGTTTATATTTAATCACCTTGAGTCCTTCTGCAGTGCAATCAGAGACTTGCCAGCCGTGATCTGGTGTTGAGAAAGTCCATGAACCTTTACAAATATGTCTATACATCTCCTTAAAATTTCCTGATGGATTCTCCCTAACCTATATTGCAATTTGCATCAGAGTAAAAATTTTAGGAGAAATTTTACACGATATTTTACATACAAGTATTTTGGCATACTTGCATGATCTTCATAGGCCTCTTATGAAAATATTCTATGAAAAATTAAAGAATTTAAAATATCCGGTTTTAAAATATATTTTGTATAACTCAAAAGTATTTCATGATTCTTTATTAGTAGTTTGTAAAATGAGAAGTTTGTTAAAATGAGAAGGATGAGAAGGATTATATATGCTTATATTTTGCATTGAATGTGCTGATTTTTTTAATTGAATGCATAAATTTTTCGATTTATATTCCATGTGCATAAAATTTAAACAGAATGTGCATGATTTTAATTCTGAATATGCATATTGATTACTCTTATTCATTTAGCTAGGTATTTGGGTAGAGAGGGCACGACATTACCAATTCCAGTAGACATTTCAAGTTACCCTTTAGATTTAATTTAGTTGCATAGTTTTCTTATTCATTCACCTAAAATCACCCCGCTTATCTTTCTCTCTAATCCTTTATTTCCATTACATAGTTGTGGAACAACATTCATTAGCGATTGTTGGGGGAAGCTGCTAAATTAAAATCTATGATCTAAAATGGTGAAGATGATCAGATTGTTTGTACAAGAGTTTGGAGGGAAGAATTGAAGGCAAGGAGAAAAATAATCGTGAAACTTGTAGGAGGAAAAGATGAATAGTAAAAATGAGGACGACGGTCGGTTTTAATTAGATGGTAGATGGAAGAGTAGCGTGAATTTGTGGGAACTAAGTTCTATAATCAAGGATATTTGATCAGTAGAGATATAGTGAGAGAGATGAAATAGAGTAGCGTGTTTTTTTGTTCTAATTTCAGCCGCTAGATTGCTCATATGAATGGTTGAGATTCCTTCTCGTCTTTCTCATTTTAAGATCTTTCTCATTATATATATATATAAGGTCGTAGTTGAGTGAAAGAAAAAAAAACCTGTGAAGCTTTGAGAAAACTGTGCGCTTTCTTAAGTGGTGTTGCATATTCATGAGTAAGACCACTGGCATGAATTGCATGAAATGCTTGTGCTGCATCCCAGGTTTGGCAGCCAAGGGCCTGCTCTCAAATTTGTACGAGGATTATTAGTAAATTGCACACGAAAGTTTGTTACACAAGAATTTTTGCTTCGTTACTAAAAGTTACCGTAAACTTCATCCCATCCTCAGAAATCCACAAATAATCTGGGATCCTGGCTAGATGTTTCTTGTATGCTGTTGAGTTCGGATCTTCCGCCCAACAAGCCATCAAACAAAGTACCTGTGCCACAAGGTCTTAATGGCATTCACTGAAAGAAAGTAAAGACAAAATTCAAGGGCAATTGTGAATGGTAACAATGTATGTGTACCTTCTCAACGCAACCAATGCAGCAGTATCTGCTGTTGATGTCCTCATAGTGTACATTTGCTATTGCTGTTTTGAGCGCCTTTTCTCTGAGTTTCGAGAAGGGCCAACGGTTGAGGATTGGCTCACCAATGTGGTGAAGAAGTCCCCAAATCATATCTTGCAACACATGATGTGGGGTATAAAGATCCTCCTACAAAAAGTTGTTAGTTGTGTAAATTACATAATTATGCTCGATTGTGTCCATAATTACGTCGTAAAAAATTCTAGAGCTTACCTTAGCACATGAGTTTCTAGCTTTGTTCCAGTTAATTTCATGGTATGGCTGGGGGTAAATTTCTGTTCTAAGTGACTGAATGAGTTGAGTGATTGGACCAACAAATCTCCTACCATACAAGTATGATACTGGCATGTACACTAATCGGCAATAGCACAAAGTTTTCCCTGCAATTGAATTATACATCAAAGTTTTACGTTGAGAGCAAAAAAATTAAATAATTCCATAGACTAATCTAACAATGTTTCATATGAAAGTGGTTTTGTAAATGTAATATTGAGTATTACAACCAAATCGTAAATCTTTGATCATCATTTACTGAGGTAGTACATGCTCTTATGTTGAATCCTAAATTCTTATATATTTGTTCATAACACTCCAATCCACGCGTTTAAAATGTACCGTAAAAGTTAGTATGATTTGGTCAATAAAAGATAAATATAGCCTATTTGTAAGAGCCAAATTACATGTAGCACTACATAAGTATCAAGTATGGATGTATAGAGTAGTTTGAGAACCTGGATGCATTGGTAAAGAATCAGGGAGTAGCCAAAGCTCTGGAGGTGTTGGGTTGCACCCATCCCATTCGTACACTCCAAGCACCTTTAGTAATCGGTCCAAAGCCAAAAGAAGGGCCAGCTTGTTACAAGTTTTTGTGTTAATTGAGATAAAAAGGTTATGTAACAGACTACATACATACATATAGTAGTAAATTAAAATCATGATCTATAGGCTATAACGTCACGTAATTAACTCTTTGGTAGTCAATTTAGTTGCTTCTATGATCATTTAATGATCATGTTCTTTCGAATACATACAATTTCTTGCTCTTTAATTATGTCAGCCGTTTTTGGAACATAGCATGAAAGTGCATGTATTCAAAAGAACTCACATGTTATGAACGTCCTTTGTAACGAAAGCATGTATGGTGCTCACGTTGTACATAAGTGTATGGCTTAAACTGTGTAGTGTTAGTTAGCTACTTCCAAATAAACATGAAAATACATAGTAGTAAAGGAGATAAATGTGAACAAACCGAAAGCCAAAATTTCCCCCATGATGGAATGCTTGTAGCACCACCATGGTCAAGGATCCATTTACGACCCCTTGCAATCGCGTTATCCTCACCATCATCAGGGCCTTCTCCCAACAACCTTAGAGCAATGTAGCTAATTGCTGAGCCAAACATGGTACTATGGCTATCTATGTGGAATCCCCACCCTCCGTCTTCATTCTGAAATATATTTTGCAAAAATATACTTTATACTTGGTATAAATTAGGTAGAAAATAGGACAATTAAATTAAATTTTATCAAGAAAAAGAAAGGACAGTGGTCAAGCTAGTAGCTAGGGATTATTTAATATTGCAAGCAAGTTCCTATTTATAACTATTGAAGTTGCTCTAACCAATATAGATATATTACCTCCATTTCATATTAATTGCAACATAGAAATTTTTTATGTCTCACAAATAATACCCTTTGTTGTAATTAATATATAACGGAGGTAGTAACAAAATTAGAGACTATCTAAATACCTGATGATTGTATATATAACGCTTTGTCTCCCTTTGATGTTCAGTGGATAAAAATTTATTGAGATCTCCTGTAACATATAGCGCCATTACCTGCAATTTAATTTATCAATGCTATATTATCACTTTGTATGGAATACTCTTTCAGTGAATTTGGTGCATAGAACTACAACTATCATTAACGGAATCAGCAGATCGGCTAATCAAAACAGTTAATACAATTCGTTATATCAAGCGGCTACTAGCTATTTTTTTTTTTTTAATTAAAAAAAAAAAAAAAAAAAAAAAAAAAAAAAAAAAAAAACTTACCAAGGGAGGCATGAAATAAAGTGGGCCAGCGTTATCAGCAGGCCAGTGACCATCATGGGCTTGAATACTGGTAAAGAAGTTGATGGCCTTCTTCAGTGTTATGGTCACTGCTTCTTCTCCTATTACCTCTCTTTCCTTCAACTTCACTCCTTTATCCATTTCCACATTTGCCTTTCCTTTTCTCAACTGTCCAAACATTTTGTTTAAAATTTTAATCAAAAAAATCACGTTACCTCGATTCTATTCTTAACCCCGTCAAAAAAACATATAATTTATACTCGTGTATAGAAAATTTGAAATAACTTATATGTACAAAGTATAATTTTTAAACGTAAAATGAATACAACTATTATGTAAGTCAAATCCTTAGGAGTATATACCAAACTTTAACTCATAAACTAAAGGTTAGTAGTCAACAAAAAAAAGTCAAACTACTTTGAGCTATAGGTTTACTAAGAAAGTGTAAAACACAAAATATTTTGACCTCCATTCTCATTAGAAGATCAGCACTTTGCCTCATGTTAAAACGGTTCCTCTTGAACTCCTCCCTTGCCCTCTCAACCTCGGCTCGTTCCTCCGTTGTTCCGGCCTCTGGATCAAACTCCCAATGTTGTCGACCGATAAAATTGTTTAGACTCTCTAGCCATGGACCCTTGCCTTCTGCTATCTTCAATTTCCACATGATAACCAACTTAAACTAAGCATACACTCTAGATCAGATGAACTATTAATTACTCTTAATTCTTTCTAGCTTGATTAGGAAAGAAAGGTGAAATATAGATAGGTAGTAATTAACTTCAATTTGCTGAGTTTTATAAGCAGAGATTAAGGGAAGCAAGGAGATAATGATATTGATTGTAGCTAGGGCAGTTTTGCATGATTCTAACAATTGGCACCTAACCTCTACAATTTTTACAATAATATTAACAATTAGGAGATGGTAGCTATCCTCTCCTTTTATTGGCTTGCTTACAATGGGGCCTATAAATCATTTCTTTATGACAAAATAGAGATATTTGGTCATACAAAACGATTCCTTTAAATATTGTTAATTATTACTTAGGTCCTATTGGAGACATATATAATTCCATATCAATTCAGTAAAAATAATTATATTTCGGTATAAAATTAATTTGATTTCAGTAAAAATAATTTTTAGTATGTAATATACAAAAACTTTTTTTACAATTATACAAGTAATAGAGAATCAGTAAAAATAAGAGTCTATTCACGTCAGCTTAATTTCAGTTCAGTTCAGTTCAATTCAACTCCAATTAGTTTAGTTTAGTTCAGTTCAGCTCCAATCAGTTCAGTACAGTTTAGCTTCTAATTTCCTTCTCTCACAAAATATTCATTTCAACTCTATTCAGTTCAATTTAGTTCAGCTCCAATTAGTTCGGTTCAGTTCAGCTCCATTTAGTTCAGTTCAGTTCAGCTCTATTCAGTAAATATGAACAGGTCCTAAGTTTTAATCGATAAAAATAATTTTGGTTTGGTAAAATTGATTTCAATTTATCAAAAATAATTTCAATTCAATAAAATTGATTTCAGTTAAGCAAAAATAGAGCCTCAAAATACGAAATTTACACCATATTGTAAGGCTTTATTCTCTTTACTTGATTTTTGCTAAAATAAAATTATTTTTGTTGAACTTTAATTACTTTACTGAAATTAAATTATTTTTTGTTAAACTTAAATTGTTTTAAACTAAAGTTAAATTGTTTTATTTTTAAGTAGAACTCAATTTTTTAACTTACTTGCTATTGTGTTTGTTCATTAAATTTACTTAATATTGCTCCTATAAAAAAAATAAAGATTACTTAATATTATTGATATAAACTTCTTTTTATTAATTATTTTATTTTGCTTAACTTTTAGTATCGTTATAGATATGAAATTACTTTTACTAGACTTATCCCAGTTCACTTCACTTTAATAAAAAATATTCTGTAAAAAAAATTCACTTCATTTAAAATAATTTTAGTTGAGCAAAATAAGTTAAATTTGGTAAAAATAATTCCAGTTCAGTAAAAATCAATATCTTTGAAGAAGAAATAATTTTAGTTCAGTAAAAATAGAGGAGTTTGCCAAAGAAAGTAATATCCTAACTAGAGTTTACCTCTGGATATTGATAACATTAGAGAGCTAAACATGAGTTAACTCATATATTTTTGTGAAAAGATTTATATATATACATAAATTAAACATGTATAAATTAATATGATTCAAAATTGCAGTTTTTAGATTTTAAAAAATTAACAAGGTATTGTATTACATAGCTTGTTTTAATTGAAGAGAAGACAAAATCAGTATTTTAATACTACCTATGTTAAATGTTATGTGTAACTTTGGAGTATTATTTGTCAGATATAAAATATTCCAAAGTTTCACCTAACATTTAATAGAGGTGATATAAGGGGGAGGGAGAGGGTGGTTGGCCTAGAGCCGAAGGAGGGTTTTTAGGCCGCGATCGACATATGGGAGGCAAAGGGTTGGGCTAGCGTTGTGTGGCAGTGGCAATGGCAATGGTTGCGTTGAAGGTTGTGATGTTTTTTTTATTTCATTTTTTTAACCAATCATAGGATGACACGTGTCATATAACTTGTAATGACAAGTTGGATTACTAGAGATTGTGTTTGAGCGGATGGAGTACAAAGTTGAGATTATTTAAAACTAATTGAAAGTTGGGATTAATTTGGACGGAAGAAGCAAAGTTGGGATAAATCTTGGCAAATTTTCCAAAAAAAAAAAAAAGCCCACATGTGCCACCATCACCTCCACTTCCACCCTCACCCTTACACCAACCCAAAACCCCTCACCAAATCAACCCAACCACTTAGAAACCACCACCTCCACCATCACCCTAACCCCAACCTGAAACCTCCTCCTCCCATCACAACGCACAACTCCCTTAGCAACCTTGTTAACATGAATTGAACAAAGGGCATGTCGATTTTAATTAGTCTATTCGTTGATGTTGGACTAGGTTGCTTGACAAATAAACTACAAGCATGTTATCACAAAAAAAAAAAAAGAGGCCCACTGAAGTGAAAATAGTATAGTAGGGGGGTGTACCATGTGCATGGCACACCCGAAAGTACATTACACATAAATAAAATAAAATTGGGACAAATTTATGCTCTTTTATTTATATGTAATGTTCATTTTTTTTTTATGAAGAAATTTATATGTAATGTTTTTTATTTTATATGTTATGTTCATTTCTCTCTCTCTCTCTCTCTCTCTCTCTCTCTCTCTCTCTCTCTCTCTCTCTCTCTCTCTCTCTCTCTCTCTCTCTCTCTCTCTCTCTCTCTCTCCTCTCCATCTAACTTCTTCTTTCATTTTATTTCTTGGTTTTTATAGCTTTTATGTGCTTAATTTATCACACACAATCACATTTTTACTAGATTTAACACTCCAAAATCCGAATTTCACAACCAATTTTTTGGATTTTTCATGATTTGAGAATTTTGGGTATTTTTATTTTGACTAAAGAATTTTCAATTGAGTGTTCTACTTGCTTGATTTTCACTATTAATCACTTTACACGGGTTTTCTACTCATATGAGGTATGATTTCTCTTTCTTTGTTTATCTTTAATTTGTTCTATATCATAAATATAAAACCCTAGGTTGTGCTTCAATGGTGAAGTCTCTTTGTTTGTTCTTTAATTATTACCTATATTTTGAGTTTTGTGATGATGTTTGTTATTTATACGAAGCTTTATTATCATGAAATTACTTAATTAATTGAATTTTTGGCAGTACCATTGTTGTTCATCATCTTCTTCCATGTATTTGGGTTGTAGCATTTTTCCATTATTTTTAGGTAATGTTCTTTCATTTATATGTAATGTTCTATTATTTCTAAATTATGCTCTTTTATTTATAGGTAATGTTCTTTTATTTATAAGTTATGTTCTTTTGTTTGTAAGGTAATGTTCTTCCGGGTGTACCATGTGCATAGTACACCCGCCTGTACGAAACAATAACTATTTTAAAGAAAATAATGAAACTCCTAATTAATGGAGGTTTCAAAGGCAATAAGTTTTGGTAACAATATTTTGGCTTATTGGTTTATTTAACCAACCTTATTGGAGAATTATGCCAAGAATGATTGGCTTATTGGAGAATAATTCTTGGCATAAGCAGAAATGCCCTTGCTCGGGAGGCTACGGGTTAAAAACAAAAGCTGTGTTGTGCAGCTACCGCTTTGTAATAGAAGACTCGGCCCAAGCAAAGCCCAAAACTCCCGCAACTAACAATAATTCTCTAAGCTTATCGGAAACAGTATCTGCAACATCGATTTATGTTACACCCAAAAATCAGATTTTTGACTTTTCATTGACTTTGACCAAGCAAATTGGTTCTTAGACTCAGTAGAAGTCTTTCGAGCTAAACCGGTAGAGATATAGCAAGAATTGGGCTAATATCATCCAAAGGCCAATATTAGAAACCGGTTTGGAGGCAAAGTGGGTAATTTAATTTTAAAGAGAGTTGACAGCTTGACGCCAAGAAGCGTAACTGCACAGCAGTTATGGGAGTCAGTCATAATCGCCGCTCCAATTTGCTTATATATAGAAGCATGAAGATCGAAGGAAGGACATTAGCAAATCAATTAACAACAAGCATTTCATTTCTTTTAAGCTTTCTTCTTAGATTTCATATATTCCCTTGGCTTAGTAGCCAAGTGATACTTTAGTTTAGTTTTGTTTTCTCTTAGCATTTACTGAAGATCGTTCATCTTTTCCAATTGTATGATCATGGAGGTAAATTCTCCTTCAACTTATACAATTGTAGACCTGACTCTATTCTTTAATTAATGGAATGAATTTGTATCTTTTGTCATATATTTATCTACTCTTTTATTTAATCAATCTAACTTGTTTTACATTCTTTGGGAAAGCTTCTTTATTGTTTGTGTTGTTATGTTAGCATCTAGTAAGGTTATCAATATTTGAAATCGGTAACTCGAGAGGCCACCCCCTAATAGTTTAGAACAAGATATATAGAGTATTTAACTTGTTGGAAAAGAACAATATTTGCCTCAATAACCTAAAAAGTTCTCTAAAGTATTGGCTTATTGGTTAGTTTAGAGAATTTAGATAGGCTTATTAGACTAGATTATTTGGTTATTTAGTTAAATAATTCTCTAAATTTGGCTTATTTGGATGGTTATTATTGGTTAAATAATTCGCTAAACAAGCCAAATAATTTGGTGAATTTAGATTGGCTTATCTAACCAAATTATTTGCGTATTTGGAGAATTCAATGTTCAAATTATTTGGCAAATAACATGTTCAAATTATTTGGATTATTTAACCATCTAAATTCTCCAAATTGGCTTATTTGCAACACTCAATCTCATTGCCATCTTTCATATAATATAAATACTATATTTACCATCCCATGTTTCTTATAGGGAGGAAAAAAAAATCTCCAAAAGAACTTGTTTTATTAATCTTCCTATTAACTAACAAATTTTTTCTTACACAAACAAATAAAAAACTATTGGAAAAATTGTCATGATTAATCCTAACTTTGCTCCATCAGCCAATATTAATCTCAACTTTCGTTTGTTTTTTTATCACTCTCAATTTTATACCCTATTAATTTTTTATCACTCCCAAGTTACTTAAAATCGGTTGAAGAGGTAAACTTTACTTGTGATTATTTATACACGTGTCGCCACATGATATGTTAAAAAAAAATTAAACTAAAATTTTTTAAAAAATAAACTCCAACCCTCCCTCGGCTTCTTCCACCACCACCTCCCATTCCCTTATCCCCAAGCACCTCCTCCTCTCTCTATCCTCCTCCTCCGCTGCCATCGCCGCCACCACCACCACCACCAAATTCCATCCCACACTAGCCTTGACTTTCTCTACGTCGGTAATAATGCCTTAACCAACT